ACATGTGCAGCTCACCCTTTTTATGCTCAAAGGTGTGATGAATACCAGCAATCAACACCAGCAAACCCATGTGAGAAAGTTCCTAGCGTGGGACTTGGAGAGGCTCCTCGTTAGGAGACAAAAGTTCCAGGGAAACCAGAGGTCTTTGGGGAGACCCTGAGCCTGGAAGCAGCCTGCATAATCTGCGCCCTGCCATCCTACACCCACAGACAGGGAAACACTGAGGTAGGCGCCCAATCCTCTGATGAATATTGGAGACTCCAAAACGTCCAGAACTCAAACAACCTTCTTTCCCTCCCTACTCCTACTCTCTGGCAGGGAAACACTGGGATAGGCGCCCAATCCTCTGATGAATATTGGATACTCCAAAATGTCCAGGACTCAAACAACCTTCTTTCCCTCCCTATTCCTACTCTCTGATCACCTCTATTCCTTAGACAAGTACACAATGCCATTATCCCACCTACCCCACCCATCCCACCCATCACACAAACCCCAAATCTGAAAGGATGGATTCTTTAACGATCACCTCTATTCCTTATACAAGTACACAATGCCATTATCCCAGCCATCCCACCCATCACGCAAACCCCAAATCTGAAAGGATGGATTCTTTAACTGTTCCTGCTCCTCTACCCCACATATAACTGTTGCCCAGTTCTCTCTTCTTTACAACTGTCCAGGCTTCCTTTCCTCTTCTTTCCCAGGGCCACTGATTTGGTTCATGCTCAAAAACTCACATGACTAAAGTGCTGTAGAAATCGCTATCCATAATCCCTGGCCCTTATCTCATCTCTCCCTCCCTTCAAAATGCCCTTCACATTAATACCCAGTGATATTCTAAATTGCAAATGTAATAATATAGTATTATGTTATCTCTCTGCATAAAACATCTCCAATTCTCTCAATAGCACCATGTTTAACTAACATGTAATGTTAGCTCTTGCTAGTTAAAAAAAAATCTAAACCCCTCAGCATGTCAAACTCCAAATGGAGTCTGCTCCATCCCTTTAACCTACCTATCACCGTTAATTCACCTACTCAACTGTGTTCCAGGCCTACTCAACTACTTTTACCAGTTCCCTGAAAGCAAAATATTTATGCTTTTTATACACACTTATTCTGTCTGCATTCCCCTCTGACCTTCTTTTCCTCTTCAAATCCTGTGCATACTCCAGAGTTCAGTTCAACCATCATCCTCAGAAAGCTTTTCCCTTCAAAACCACAATGACTGCATGTCATACTGATTAGGATGGCTATTATAAAACAAACAAAACAGAACATAACAAGTGTTGATGAGAATGTTGAGGAATTGGAACCCTTGCACGCTGCTGGTGAGGAATATAAAATGTAAACTGCTATGTAAACCAGTTTGGCAATTCCTCAAAAAATGTAAAATAGAACTGCCATATGATCCAGAAATCTTACTTCTGGATATATACCCCAAAGAAGTAAAAGCAGTAACTCAAACAGTTGGTTGTACACCCAGATTCACAGCAGCGTTATTCACATGAATCAAAAGGTAGAAGCAACTCCAGTGTCTATTGATAGGTGAATGAATAAACAAAATGTGGTCTATACAAAAAATGGAATATTTTTCAGCCTTAAATGGGAAGGACATTCCAATACATGCTACAGCATGGATGAATCTTAAGGACATTACGCTAAGTGAAAAATGCAAGTCACAAAAGGATAAATACTGTATGCATTCACTTATATGATATACGTCATATTCATAGAAACAGAAGGGATCCCACTACTTTACAACTGTCTCCTACATTAGACTGAGAAACCTGAAGGAGGGATCTATGCCTAGAACAACAATAACAACAAAACACCACATCTGTGTAACCTGTCTAATGACTGCATAAGTAAGTGTCCTTAAGTTTGTTTTACAACTATATGTGGTGGCAAGTGAATGTTTAAGATCCTAGAACCTGAAGTATTTTCTTACCTGAATCCTTTTGGAGAGGGGAAGGCACTTTCTAAGTTTAGTATAAAGAGAAAATAAATGCTCCCAGATTATTTTACACTCCACCCCCGGCAACTTCCTTCTCTGCTACCTGCTGTCCTCACCTTGATATGCCCGTAAGCTTCAAACTGCCCAACAGCCATTCTGTCACCCACATATTTATGTCCTCTCTCTCTTACAATCTCCCATGTCCTTCAGGCCTCCCTTCTACCTCCCTCACCCAAATTATGCCTTTTTATATTCATTTTTTTCAAAGAAAAATAAAATTAAACCACTAAGTATTAAAATATCAATGATGGACCACTCACTTGACTGCCTTTCTGATCCCAAAAGTATTCAAAAATGTCCTTGATTTTTGAAAAACCTAGCTTTTTTTCCTGCCAATAGTTGATACATTGTTGGGTGAGATTCATGAGAAAAATAAGAAATGTTCACTCTTTCTGGCCGTATGGTTAGCCATAGAAATTGTTAAGGAGAACTCTCATGTGGAAAATCTCACATTGATACTAATCGGTCCCTTATTCGTGTTATTAACTTTCTCAACCTGTCCTCACAGTAAATTTCCAAAACACAAAGCTGATACAACCTCCTATTTAAAACTCCCTAATGGTTCTCCGTGTTTCTTCCGTCCCTGCTGATTGGATTCCGTTCCTACATCATATCTGTAACTGTGGATTTCTCAATACCATTACTGCAGTGTTGGCATTTTGGATGGGATAATTCTTTGTTGTGAGGAGCTGTCAGGTGCCTTAGAGGATGTTTACAGCATCCCTGGCCTCTGTCCAATCCATGCCAGTAGCACCTCCTTCCTCTAGTTGTAACAACCAAGTTTCTGCCATCATTACCAAATGTCTCTTGGGGTGTGGGGAGGGCAAGAACCATTGCTCTAACCCCAAGCTAAAGACCTGCTTCTAAGGAAAGCATGGCTTAGTTTCCCACTGACGATGCAGTGCAGACCACGCCCTACTTAGAACACCTTGTATTATAACACAACTGCATTGCCTTCGCCTGCATCCTTCCTCTGATGCAACCCCTGGGCAGCCAGCACCAGGTCTTCTCGTTCATGTTTGAACGCAGGTACCTAGCATACTGCCTCACTTATAATATCCACTCAACAAATGTATGTAGAATAAATGTTAAATAAATGCCAGGAACATGCCTAAAAAGATACAGAAGTGACAATTCGAAATTTCTTAAGCTATAGCAATCTACATATTATAAGGCAACTATTCTAGCCAGAAAACACAACACTTCAATATCAAAAAGAATAGCAAGACATTTTTAGCCGTTTAGGGGTCTGAGTTTAAATCATGAGAGATGAGATAGTAAGTGTGAGGGCCACCATTTTCAAAGCTCAACTGTTGAAATAACACCAGTTCCTTCTCTCAGGAATATTCATTAACATTGAGCTGAGCTGCTCTGCTGTGCAGTTCTTGGCAGTCCTGTAGTGAAACTGCTCAGTGATGGGAGATGTTAACTAATCGCACTATAAAATAGAATTACAATTAATTGTTAATTTAGGTTTTAAAGTGACAAACTTTAAAGGCTAAAAATAGTCTTTGATCTTTAAAAGGCTTCTTAATGAGGGCAGTATACTTTAAGTACCTCATTAGTTTAAATGTTCAAATTGGGTCCACAGGCTGCTAGCACTAAGCAAATATCTCTTCCAATATGTTAAATGTTTATGACTTGGGACATAGACAATTAATCGCTAATCAATGGGCCAAATCTCAGGTGAGGTCAGGTTCTGAAACAGGAGGACGACAATAGTAAATTGGATTTAGGGCTTTGTGACACGATCTGTGACAATCACAGGCAAGTGGAGACTAAAAGAATTGCAGGAAGGGCACCTGACAGAAACACCCAGATAATTAAGATATTACTCATTCAGTTAATAGTGGTTTTCAAGGGTGCCCTTTGTTTAGATTAATGAGCCATCATCTTTAGAATTACACTTACACGTCTGTAGTTCAGTTACTTAAACATATAATTCAGGATATAAAATAGTAAAACTCAGCATAGCTTAAAGGGTGATAATATCTGGTAACTAAAATTAGCAATAGTCATAATATAATTTCCAATATGATCTTGATCCACCATGTCACACTTCATTCTCTCCAAATCCAGAAGTAAAACCAATTTATGACTTTGAGAAGCATCTCCCTAACAATCATGCCAACCTTCCACAGTCATTGCCGACGGACACAGGCTGTGCTTATTGTGTGAGTGCTGTCTATTTCTATATATTTTCACTAACCTTTAGATCAGGTGAGAGACTCCAGAGGCAGAGCTGACCCTCCTGACTTCCAGTCACAATTGTTTGCTGGTCATCAGTGATCATGATGGCGGTGATGCTGTGGGAAGGGGCCTTCTTCCCCCAGAGCGTGACGGCCTGCAGGGAGGACCTCATGTTGAGAGAATCCTGGAAACACAGAGAAGGAAAGAAGTGTACACAGTAATCAGTCTTAGATTCAGGAAACTGATCACACCACAAAGTGGATTTATAATCACACAAATGTGAACATGTTCTACCAGAGCCATCCATTCGAGGGGAGGGTAGTCAGGAGACACTGAAATGACCATGCTTAGTGCTAATCTGTCCAAGATGAATGACTTTTATTCCAGTTCTTGATAACTGATACCGATGAAGAGAAGGATAGAAACAGTCTGCCCACTCCACACCCAGCTCTGATGCTAGGTGATCCTGACCTCTCCAGAGCCCAACTAGGCCTCTCCAGACTAGAGCTGTCAGCCCGACCAGCATGGTTCAGTGGTTGGGCACCACTCTATGAACCAGGAGGTCATGGTACAATTCCCAGTCAGGGCATATGCCAGGTTGCGGGCTTGATCCCCATTGTGGGGCGTGCAGGAGGCAACTGAACAATGATTCTCTCTCATTATTGATGTTTCTATCTCTCTCTCCCTCTCCCTTCCTCTCTAAAATCAATAAAAAATATATTAAAAATAACAAAAAATTAAAAATAAACTAAAAAGAATGGAGCTGTCTAATACTATAAACTTGAAGACAGCTTTGCAGACTCTCCCCAGAAATGTCATCTCAACTAATTAACAATTATTTGAATTTTGCTATTAAAAAGTAAATCTTTTCCGTAAAATCAGTGTTTCCTGGTCATCAAAGATTGCTATATGATTGTCATGATTTCCATCATATTCATGTTCCATCTATACTACTTTAATAATATTTTTTATTTGACTAAATTTTGTATTTGGTAACCTTTTTAAACAGTAATTTTCATGAAATCTCTACTTCATGTGTTAGTGACAAAGGTTAAAATGAATACATAATTATCATTTTAACCTGGGTACCACCCAAAATGATCTGAAAAATCATCTAGTGAGATGCACATTACATTTTGTGAAACATTGAGTTAAAAGTGTCCCCTCAAATAGGCCTTCTTTTCAGAAATACAAATAATTTGGGAGTGAATAATGCTTTAAGTTCTCAGAGTAAATTAGTAAGTTGTCTCCTGTGACTTAATAATATATATTTCCCCTCAATAAAAATATCAAAGATAAGAAAGGAGGAAGATACCAACGTTACTTTCCACATTTGGCTTGAGAAAATTAAAAAAATAAAAATAAAGACTTGTCCTGCAAGACCTCTGGTACCAAAGCATCACAAAGATAAGAACCAATATAAAATTTAAAAACCTGTGGCATATGTTATTTAGAATGTTCAGTTACACAGATAAATACACAGGCACATAACCTTGAGTAGTCACCGACATCATGAACATAAAACCAATATATGTAGTGCTTAGCCAACAAACCAGGTGTCTTCAAAATTTTATTTGTAGTTCATTTATTTGGAATTTAGTAACTAATTTCTCATGGCCTAAGAGTATGTAACCTATAATAGAGCTGTACTAATCTTACTACAGTATCTAAGCACCATGCAAACAAAATTTATTTACAGGAAATATCCTCAGTGTTGCAATTCAGTATATCAGGATCACACATTAATCCTAGTACTAAACTAACCCAGGAGTTCTGAGTTCTGGTTTCAATAACACTATAATCCCAACTTGAACCTCTTCTGCTTCAGACACAGAGGAGTAATGCTATATACAGGAAAAACCTAGCAGATGCCACCTTAATCATATAATGAAAGTAAACAACTTCAGTGATGGGACAAAAACAAATTCATGTGTCACTTGACAACATGCAATGAGAAGGAAAAATGCAATGAGAAGAACACGTATCAATTCTGTGATATTCCTACCAAAGATGCACAACCTGAATCTTATCACAACAAATACAAATTGAAGGACTCTCTACAAAATAACTGGTCTGTAATCTTCAAACGTTTCAAGATCATGAAAGTCAAAGAAAGAATAAGAAACTGTTCCAACCGAAGGAGACTAAAGAGACATGAACTAAGTGCAAAACCTTGTTCTAGACTGGATTAATTTGCTCTAAGAGACTCACTGAAATAACTGGCAAAACTTGAATGAGGTCTAAGGATTGAATGATAGTAATCCTATAAAATAATAATAGCCTAATGTGCTAAATGTCTGGTCGACTAGTCGGCCGTTCAACCAATCAAAGCATAATGTGCTGATATGCAAAAGTCTCTCAAGTGCTCACTATGATGTGCACTGACCACCAGGGGGCAGACGCTTCAACTAGTAGGTTAGCTTGCTGCTGGGGTCCTGCAGATCTGGACTGAGTGAGACAGGCTGGACACATCCTGGAGCCCTCCCACAGCCCCTCCCCAGCTGGCCAACCTACCACGTCTCTCCCCAGCTCCAATCGTGCACCAGTGGGGTCCCTTGGCCTGGCCTGCGCCCTCTCAAATCTGGGACCCCTAGGGCCAAGATGGCGAACCTATGACACACGTGTCAGAGGTGACATGTGAACCCATTTTTTTGGTTGATTTTTCTTTGTTAAATTGCATTTAAATATATAAAATAAATATCAAAAATGTAAATCTTTGTTTTACTATGGTTGTAAATATCAAAAAATTTCTATATGTGACAGGGCACCAGAGTTAAGTTAGGGTTTTTCAAAATGCTGACATGCCAAGCTCAAAAGGTTTCCCATCACTGCCCTAGGGGAATGTTGAAGAGCTAGTTTTGGCCTGATCCCACAGGCCAGGCAGAGGGACACTCCCCCCATTGGTGCATGAATTCATGCACGGGGCCTCTAGTATATCAATATTAACTTCCTAATTTTGAAGGATTTATTATGATTGCAAGGGTTAATATCCTTGTTCTATATACTAAAGTATTCTGAAAAGATTGGAGCAGGGAGGTAATAGTTTGGCAACTTCCTATCAAATAGTTTTCATGAAAATAGATCTGTGTGTTATCCTTACTACTTGTCTGTGAGTTTTAAATGTTTTTAAAATTAAGACTTTGAGCTTCAACGTTCTCATCTGTAACATGAGAATAATAACTATACCAGAGCAGGGTACCGTGAGGATGAAATGAGAACATGCATACAATGTAGAACACAGAATGTACTCAGTAAATTACTACTGTTTTAATTCTAGCTTCCATACCTTGGAATAATAGCAACAGTTACTGAAAGCAAACTTCTTCACCATTACACTTTTGCTTTATTCTGATTCATATGAAATTCATCTCAACTTCACTAGATTTTAAATTCTCCTCCAAAGACAGGGACTTCTTTCTGACGTGCCCACTGCTATATCCCAGGGACCCAGAGAGGGTGTAGGACAGGCAGGCACTCAGTAACTATTTGCTGAACAAATGAATGAAATATACATTATAATCTGAAGACCCCCATCTGATAAAGCATCCACCGATACAAATATGGACAAGTGTTTAAATACCTAACAAAATACAAGGCATTTGGAGTTTAGAACATCAATTAAGTCAAAGCATTTCATAGATTAAAACCATAGATAGTCATAGGATTCTTAATATCCAAATCAGAAAACAAAAAGCACCAAGACCAAAGCCTCAAGAAACCAGATCTTAACCAGAACCGATCCTGAACAATCTGGATTGCTAACTGTAGTGGAAACAGACGTGGAATTCAGATGCCTGTCCTAGGGTGGCTCTTACCCTTGTGACCTTTGTAACTAGATTATACAGGTAATGTGTAGTAAAATGAGGTTACCATCACCTGTGTTGCCTACATCTCAGTATTCTTATGAGGAATAAATTCATAATGTAAATAAAAGCATATGGGTATAATATACATAGGATGCTATCATTATACTTTGCATGTATAATCTAGAACTCAGGGCAAGAAGTGGCCTTGGAGATCATTAATCTAATCCCCATAATTTATAAGAAAGCTGACAACGAGAAATGTGGTCTGGATAACTATTAAGATCATTTGAGACTCTGATACACTAAACAAATTGTGCAGTGAGAATGAGTAATTGATTAAAAGGATGCTCATCTTCGAAGTCACTTTTTAAAAGTCTCTCTCTTATTTTTTTGCAGCAAAATTTCAAAAATCACCCCAGAAACGTTGTGCCTTGCTAACAATAGGAGAGAGAGTAAATCCATGTGTTCTGAGACCCTGGACAATTCCCCAGAAATCTCTAATCAAAAATAAATCTCAAGGGGAAAGGCAGTTTACTGTAGAGTCTCTAAGTGAGAGGGAAACTCTGACATACAGCAGTTAAGTTGTGCCCCTGGCAGAAGTAAACTGTCCCATTTCAAATAATTATGTATTCAGATAAGTTGTTAAATCTTTGGAAAAAGATTGCAAACCTCTATCACAACCCTCAATTTACAACTATTGCATCCTAAAATGAGCACCTAAGTAATATTTTGCAATGTCTAAAAGAAGATTATGAATAGTAATGCTCTGGATGTGTTTGCAGATCCTTAAATAATTTTTAAATCTGGTCCATTTAATGGCAATTTAAAATAAACACTTGCATTGGAGGGGAAAATGGACATTAAACAAACAAACAAACAAACAAAACTTGACCTAGCTGGTTTGGCTCAGTGGATAGAGTGTTGGCCTACAGACTGAAGGGTCCTGGATTCAATTCCAGTCAAGGGCACAAGGAGTGGTGGGCTTGACCCCCAGTAGGAACATGTAGGAAGCAGCCAATCAATGATTCTCTCTCATCATTGATGTTTCTATCTCTCCCTCTCCCTTCCTCTCTGAAATCAGTATATATATATATATACCCACAGACAGGGTGAAGACAAGGGTATATTATAAAAGTCAAATAAATTTTTCTCATTTGGGTCTAGTCATAGTAGCAAGTCACAGTACCAAGTACAACACTTTAAATTTTGATAAATTGTATTTTGTGTCTTATATAATCAACATTTTATCATATAATCAGTATAGCTATTACAATATATATAGACACTAATATGCAAATAGACCCAACGGTGGAACACCCGAACAACCGGTAGCTATGACATGCACTGACCACCAGGGGGCGCATGCGGAACATGGTGGGCATCAGC